AGCTGAAGTGCGGCGCCTGCGGCCAGGTGGGGCATATGCGCACTAACAAGGCCTGTCCGCTGTACACGGGCATGCAGAGCGGCCTCTCCCAGTCGAATCCCTCGCTGGCCGACGACCTCGACGAGCAGAGCGAGCGGGAAACCAACATGGATGATGACGATCTGGTGAATGTTGACGGCACCAAGGTGACGCTCAGCAGCAAGGTGCTGCGACGTCATGGCGAGGAGAGCAAGCGGCGCAGCGGCATGGGCCTGAGCCTCAAGATGTCACGCGATGGCAAGAAGAAGCGGCGCCTGGGCAGCGACCCCCACTGCGACTACCTGCAGCGGCACAACAAGACCGCCAATCGACGGCGCACCGATCCTGTGGTGGTGCTCTCATCTATACTGGAACTGATCCTCAACGAGCTGCGCACCATGCCGGACGTGTTTCCGTTTCTGTTTCCCGTCAACTCGAAGAAAGTGCCGGACTACTACCAGGTGGTCACGAAGCCCATGGACCTGCAGACCATGCGGGAGTACATCAGGCAGCGTCGCTACACCAGTCGCCAGATGTTCCTCGAGGATCTCAAGCAGATTGTGGACAATTCGGCGCTTTATAATGGCGCCCATAGCGCCTACACCGTGGCGGCCCAGCGCATGTTCGAGAGCTGCTACGGGCTGTTCCAGCAGCGCGAGGAGAAGTTGATGCGCGTGGAGAAGGCCATCAATCCGCTGTTGGGCGATGACGATCAGGTGGCCCTGTCGTATATCTTTGAGAAGCTGCACGCTCAGGTGAAGCTCCTGAACGATGCGTGGCCCTTCCTGAAGCCCGTCAACAAGAAGAATGTGAGGGACTACTATCAAGTGATCAAGCGACCAATGGATCTGGAGTGCATGCAAAAGATTATCGACGGTAAGTACAGGCTCTACAGCTTCGGTTCGTGGTGGTCTTTACTTTCCTCTTTCTTTTGCAGGACATGGCTATCACAGTCGAGAGGAGTATATGGCAGACATTGAGCTGATGCATGCCAACTCTTTGCAGTACAATGGCCCCGAGCATCGCTTCACCAGAAACTCCACTAACATACGGGCGTACGCACGCTCGCAACTGGAAGAGGTACATCCGTACATCCACCATGGAGAGCATACATTTCTAAGACATCTTCTAATTTGTCGTTTAGTTGGCGGCCACTTGCATCCCTCTCGAGGAGAACATTGCCAAGACCCGAGAGCTGGCCATGGAGAATGCACCCGAGCTGGAAGAGGCCTGGGGCCATGATGATTACGATTTGGCACGTAGCAGCCGTGGCAGTTCGCCCGGGGATGAGTATATCGATGTGGAAAGTAATGTGGGCGCCACCACAGCAGCCTCCATACACCGCAGCATGGGCTCCGACGGTCATATGACGCATCATGCGATGCCAGCCCGCAAGCTGCCACGTCCGGCCGTGGGCGAGGTTAAACGTGGCCGGGGCAGGCCACGCAAGAGGCACCAACCCATGGAGGAGGGTAAGTCCCAGCCCTGCTACAATCTCTGCCACAATATTTATGCATACAAACAGACACATACTCTCCTATCTACATACATATTTACACTTATCTCTCTCTGGTCTACTGTAAAACTATATTGGTAATGATCTCACGCTTTCCTCTTTCCACATCAATATGATTATGATATAAATCTACATACTATATGCAACAAAGTGTATCCCATGATTCCTGATCCCAGACCCCCTGATTATGGTTATGGTCACCCCTACGCCATCCACAGATATGATCTGTTGAGCCTGCTTGTACTAATACCCCAACAACAACTTGACTTTAATCCACACTCGAAATCATTGAACTCCATTGGGAGTTGTTCCCATTTCCTATATTCAGATGTTCAGATGTACGCAGGTAGATTGTAGATAGCGCATATCATTAGAGCACTGCATGATACTTTACCATCAACTAAATTACATTTCAAAACAAGTAAAAATATTATATTTTAGGTATAAATATTCTTGATAGGAATTTGAATTGCTTTCCATCAACGATTATAGAACATAGATAAATCTTTTAAAGTGTTTCAATAATTTTAAGAGTTTTGTTCTGTAATCTTTCGCTTGAATCAATCAATGATCAATTCTTTGGCTTTTTCCAATCAACGCTTCTCCGAGTAAAGCAGCTGCAAAGTAGACCAAAACCCAAATTTCTCGCTTTTGATTCTTTTTCAATTTGAGAGCTCTGTGTTTCCTCCTACTCGTATTACATGTAATTGTGTGCATCAAAAGATGCTGCTCTCCCTCTTGATAAGTACTGTTGCTACCAAAACACATGCCACAAACTGCAAAAAATACTTTTACTGTACTTTTTCTAGTCAAAGCCCAGAATCCGGTTAAGCGTGGTCGGGGTCGTCCGAGGAAGGGTAGTCTTACATCAAACAAGAGTCAGGCGCAAGCTTACTTCCTGGATGAAGGTAAGCCTCAAACTACAGACTTACGAATTACAGACAAACCTCACCAAAACACCCCCACACACATATACACACACACAACATGTTTTTTTTTCGTTAATTAATTTACACACGAATTCAAAATTGATTTGCCAAAAAATACCTGCCTAACATCTAACAACGCTTTTCATCTCAATTAGTTTTCGGTTAATTTTGGTTTTGCCTGTTTATAGATTCATATGCATTTTCGGTTAACTAATCCTTGATCCTCGAGTTTATCTTTAACATTTTGCATGATATCCTCCAGAGTTACAAGATCCAAATTACTTTTCACTTAACTTCAAATTATTTAATTTAAATTTTTTATATGGCGGAACACTCTTTAGATTTGTATCCTTGCAGAGGTTATGAGCAACGCAGAGAAGTAATTATTTCCGTGATACAATCAAATGTGACCCTTCTCTTTCGCTTTATTTGCATACATTTATATGCAGAAATTCATATACAACATTGCTCCAATAATATAAAGATAGTTAATATAAAAAAACTTTCTGCAAGGATATATAAAGCTTCGGTGACTCCGAAGATTACGTTCTCCCTTGTTCACTGTGCAATTCATTAACGTTTTAACCCTCTCCCGCAGACCTGAATTTCTCCACAGACGATGAGGATGATGAGGAGGAGGACTTCCAGGAGGTCTCCGAGGATGAGAACAATGCCGCCAGTATACTGGATCAGGGCGAACGTCTACAGGCCCCTGCCGATGGCATGGACTATATCGATCCGAAGAACATTAAGACGGAGATCGACATCGAGGAGCAGCAGCTGGCAGGTGGGTGGTGAGCCAGTCGAGCGCTGGTCGTATCTGTCTTTGAATCTGTCTCTGTTTCAAGTTGATGATTGATTACTAATCGAAAAACTTCCTTCGAACTTTGACTTTGTCTGGATTCTGTTTCTGTTTCCGTCTCCGTTTTACATTTCTATCCGTCCACTTGCCACTATCGGCCGCAGAGGAGCCGTGCGGCGAGGATGACAGCCAGCAGGCGGCGGAAGCAATGGTGCAGTTGAGTGGCCTTGGCTTCTACGCTCAACAGCAGCAAGGTCTCTATTATCCCCACAACCCACACCACATATCAATGTTGTCCTGTCCCTTCGATATCTTCCTTAAGCTCCGCTTGCTCTTTTCCTCCAATCGTATGTGACCGGCAATTGATTGTGTTTCTGTATGTCTTCCAGATGAATCCATGGATGTAGATCCCAACTACGATCCCTCTGATTTTCTGGCCATGCACAAGCCACGCCAACCCATGGGAGAGCCCACCACCGCCCGGAGCGCCTTCGCGGACTTCATGGCAAACGCCCAGGACGACAATGGACAGTACAATCCACCGGAGGCCAGCACAAGTGCCGCTGCAGCGGCTGCGGCTCACGAGGATGAGTCTGTGGCGTTGCAAATGCCACCGGCCAGCACCCTCAACAACGGCATGGGCATTGAGGAAGATTTGGACGTTTCGGACAGTGACGAGGAGGACGATGGTCGCAGGCGCATCAAGAACGAAGTGTTTGACGACAACGACAATGATATGCACCAGTCGCAGGCCTCGCATCACTCCCATCAGTCGCAGCCCTACCATGTGGATGCCTCGAACGAGCCCGTGCTCGACTACCAGCAACAGCAGCCAATGGGCTTTACAAGCTCCCAACAGGCAATGGGCTTTTCTGGCGCCCAGCAGGCTATGAACTTTATGGGCTCTCAGCAGCCAATGGACTTTACGGGCGCCCAACAGCATATGGACTTTACGGGCTCCCAGCAGCAGCAGCAACAACAGATGGACTTTCCGGTCGTCCAACAGCCAATGGACTTTCCGACCGCCCAGCAGCCCATGGACTTTCCGGCAGCCCAACAGCCAATGGAATTTCCAGGGGCCCAGCCGGGACTAGAGCAACAGCAAAATCAGCAGCCACAGCAGCATCTAGTGCAGGGGGATAATGACTATGCCTGGACATTCTAGGGATGATATGGACAGCCCCAAAGAGGGGACGCGATTATCGTTAAGTGAAATATTTTTTATATTCTTCCTTTTTCGGATCAGAAGGGGATCTATAAACAGCTGAAATTTGTTTAAAATGGAGATTCCTTTAAAGGCTTTGCACTCTCAGCTGATGATCATTTCATGCTCTATTGAAATTTAATTTTTTTGCAATATTATGTGTAGTCTAAGGGCTCTGGCCCGGACGTTTGTCATTCATCTTTGTTTTCAATTGTGTTTTCTGTCATCCGTTTTTGGATTAAGCTGAACTTTGTACATTTAAGAATAACCAACACACAGAAACACGAGTGTTGTGTTGCTGGACGATTAATTTGAATATAAAATGAATTGAAAGTGATTAATCTCGCGAGCATTGCAAACGGAAGCCGCTTTACCGATCATTTAATAAGTAAATATTAATTTTATTCCTAGATTAACTTGCACTTCACAGTCGTCAGCGTCGTCGTATAGTCGTAATGGAGGAGGCGCTTACCACACCCCCCATTGTCGCCATTGCACCACCCCACACGCCCTGACCCATATTGCTTTTAGAGTGGTTTTTTTTTTTTTTTGAGGTGCGCGTACATAAGTATGTGGTGTGGGTGTAGTGTGTTCTCTATGGCCTGCGAGTATTCCAATGCGGTGGTGCGGCTCTCTACAAGAGCTTCAGGTGCCCAGTGACACGATCGATATCGGCTGCCGCAGCTGGGCCCACGGCCAGCACGGTCTTGGAGTTTGGCTCGATCTGGGTGCGACCAGCGTCGCGTATAAGGCACGTGTTCAGCTGGTGCCGTTCTGCAGCCTTCTTGATGGCCATCAGCTCTGCTTCGCTCTCCACGCGCACGGCGATTTTGGCACAACCGCAGTTCTCCCAGGCGCGCAACAGACGCGGTATCCGCGTCACAGCGTTCTGGTAGGCGCCCACCGCTCCGTGGCCACATTGTGCGGCAATCTTGCCCTTGCCCATCTTCAGGTCGTTCCGCACGACCAGAACCATTTTGAAGTTCTCGTTGATGCCGCCATAGTTCTGTAAATACACGGATAATTAGCACCCGCCTGCAAGGGAGGAGTGGAAGTAGGTCAGTTGGCTTACCCTGTCGGACACAGCAGCTTCCTGCCTGGTTGTGCTGCCGGTCGCAGCCGCTGCTCCTTCGTCCGTCTCCTTGGACTCGCCGCGCTTGATGGCGTAGCGGTAGCCCACGAAAAAAGATATCATCACAGCCATTCCATTGATGATTTGGGAAGTGTCCAGCAGTTTATCACCCATTTTGATTTGTATCTCAGGCAGACTTTCTTAAAATTTATTTCGCAAAAAAACGCAAAGTGTGGCGCTCACCAGCGTGATTATCGATAAAATATACCGAAAAACTCTCCGAAATATACCTTTAATTTTAAAAATGTACTGTATATATACCGTAAAGCTTAAATTATTTTCCTCGACTTTGAATTTTTTTCAAATATTACAAGCTAGTGAGGACTCTCAGCCTTAAAACTGTAATTTTACTCGAATCATCATTAAGTTATCCACAAAATTGGCTGATTTTCATGGCTTGTCTTTATTAGATTGATTGCAAAATAAGGTTACAACTAAAAAGGTCAACCAACAAAAATAGCATATAACATTACGTGAGTGGGAATGGATTGCTACGTATTTGACAATTTGTTGCTTGTCAGCCGGTAGGTATGGCACTAACCAAATAGTATAGTAGACTCTCAACTTAATACAAGCGAAACGTCTCGGAGTCCCAGGCCTCTGCCAAAGTCAAAACTACAAGTATTAGTGAGTGTAGAACACGCGGCTAGAAGCCCCATCTACATGTGTATTAGTGCGTGTAGAGCATGCAGCTAGAAGCCCCAGCTACATTTGTATAAGTGCGTGTAGCTAATGATTTCTTAGCGCTCCAAACCGGGTTTGTCTTGATTTACACGGACACTGCAAGTAATGTATGTTTTGGTGCTCTGACTTTCTGAAGTGCGATGGAACGAAAATTCGTGTTGATGATTTGATTTTGTTTTCGGGGCTTGGCGTATGCACCTGACCTGCCGCAACATGTGCAGAATGAGGGGTGGGGGTTGGAGGCCGGACCCTTGGAGGTTGGAAAAAATAAATATACCAATAAAAGTTGTTATTGTATTTGAATGCTGTAATTGTTTTCAATGCAGATTTTATACTGCTTTATTCAAAATAGTATGCATATTATGGAAACGCCGTCGCTTCTCGACTTCGTTGCTGCCGTATTATCTATTTATGTATATACATCTTTCCAATTTCTGTTCTCGTCGTCGGTTATGTTCTCGACTTCATGTGCGCTTTAATTGTTAGCACATTTTCCTCCGACTCCCATCGGCAAATCGAGATTTGGACAACTGACTTTAAATTTGATGCCCAAGATGGCACTAAAATCGGCATAGACCCACCGCGTACCTATTTTTGTGTATATAAATATATATATATATATATATATCCTCATTTGTCATCTACATCTACAACACTTCTCACACCAGCTCTTCCCTAGCTCCCTTCCCTAGACCCACACACTGCAGACTCGCGGCAGACGCAGTGGCCCCATACAGCAGAAGCAGAGTGTGAATGAGATAAAAAACAAATATAAGCTGCGGGACGGGGTGGGTTTAGCCACTGCAAACAAATAATGATCCAATCAGATCCCAATTTGGTGATCTGATAGATATGATCCTTCCCTACGGAATGGCGTTTTTAGTTTTCTTTTATGTTCAACATTGTAGGTTACCATTTGGTTAGTGACTAAACTCATGAAAACCAAGAAGATGGAATGCAAATGTGATAATGAATTTTCGGGTTTATAATTGATTAATTCTAAGGACTGGAAGTGTCTAAATTATAGTTGTAAAAGTGATAAGGTGCGGCACTACTATTTCATTGAACACAACTGTGTGTATGTACATACATACATATGTATGTATATACTTTATAGCGCTGGAAAATTTTCCTTCCGTGTGTTACGTTTTTCTACCACAATTACTCGAAGAGTTCATCGAGTGCCGGGAAAACAAATCCTGACCACTAACCATACAGGTATACTGTATGGATAGTGCTTACGCACAGTTGGCACTTGTCATCGCTGACTTTTGTTACTGCAAGCATACATACACACAAATGTACACATGAAGTACATAAATGTATTTTTAACTTCCAAGGATAATTTAAATTAACCAACCACTATAACCATTTGATATAGATATTAACGGACAACATTTTACCTTTCGATAATTGGGCGCCGTAAATACCAATTCCGTATTTGTCCAGTGTTTTTTTTGTTGCAAAAATCTCGAAAGCACATGCCACATAGCACATGGTATAGGGCTCCCATTCGACGTCAGAGAAAACAATCATGCAAAAATTAATAATACTTTATTGATTACATTTTTTGTTTGTTTTACAAATTGTTATTTTAATTCAAGTCGACAACTGCCATTACGGTGGCAATCATCAACTTTAGATCTTCATCCGGTAGGTTGCCCAAAGTTTGCAGCGCCTGAGCAACCCGGGCCACCTGCGTCTCTTTTGCTGCGTTAAGGACCTTTTCGGACCCGGCCCCGGGTATGGCATTCCCTTCAGCAGGCACGCTGGCTGCCTCACGCCGGTTCTGGGCGCCAACGTTGTGGTCTCCGCGGTTAGCGGATCCACCGTAGTACGCCCATTGAATGGCGGCCGGGGCGCATTCAGCGGACCTACGGCTCACAGCCCCAATGTTGGCGGCCCGGTTGCCAGCCTCCTCTGATCGTGCTCGTTGTAAGGCTAACCGTGCTCGCTGTAATGCTGCCCGATCACGGGCCTTACGCGCTTGCACCCTCTTCGCGATATGCGGATTGTCTGTAATTAATGAGATGATAAATATCTCAATTTTCACTTACTAATCACTTACATCTTCCTTTGGTGTTCCCATCGGTGTAATTCATTGCTTGTGGTTTGTAGCGTTGGCGTTCGTTTGGTTTGGTTTTGCTTGGCGTTGGCGCGTCTTTCTAAAATTGTGTCTATATAATTTATTTGCATGTGTGTGGGTGTCAAGCAGTAGAAAAATACCTCACAATCCCGACACGATTAGGCCGGTTTTGCCTATCACTATTGCGCCTGATAGGTTCACATACAAATTGCGCTACAATTCAAATTTTTCAGCTATGTTATTTCTTACGGTGTGCTTGTTATAATAATAATAAAAATGGTTCCATTTAATTAGCCAAATATAGAGAATGGAAGAAAAGGCCGGTAGGGTTTTGATCTTCTATTGCATGTATTTTTATCAAATTAATCTTTAATCGACATTTTATCTCCCAATAATTCAGTTACATTTTTGGTTATTCTGCTATATTTCTGGAAAAAACTGAGTGAGATAGTTGAGTGAAGTTTTGAGTCAAATAAATATGTTATTGGTATGTAGATAATGTGTATTTTTCATGTAGTTACTCTGTAATATAAAAGTAAATTTGTTGATCCCTTCTTTGTTTAAACATTAAAATACATAATACAGTAATCCATAAATTAGGATTGAAGAGGATTTTATGATGAATCGGATAAAATTTAAGTATTAGCTCTGACAATCCTAACTAGCTGTTAATATTAAATGGAATATCAAAATCGAGGAAAATCATATAGGATTTACGGTATATTTACGGTATATTTAGAAAATGAAAAGGTATATTTTGGTATATTTTCCCGCGGTCACACTGGATCGAACACCATACGTGTAATTCTGCCTTCGTCGACGTAGCATTTTTTAAACCCGATCGAAATCGCATTTAGCTAGATTAATTTAAGTAAATACAAACCACAAACCATACAGTCGCAACCATGGGCGTCGCTAGCATGCTGCAAATCGATGAAATGCTGGGCGATTTCAACAGAATGAACAAGCGTCAGGTGAGAGGAGAGCCGCCGCCTTGTCCGGCGGCTGTGGCATTGTTGAAAGTGACATTGTTAACAACGATGCTTCTTGCAGTCCCTGTATCAGGTGCTGAGCTTCGCCATGATCGTCTCGTCGGCCCTGATGATCTGGAAGGGCCTGATGGTGGCCACCGGCAGCGAATCGCCCATTGTGGTGGTCCTCAGTGGCAGCATGGAGCCGGCGTTTCATCGCGGGGACCTGCTCTTCCTCACCAACTACAAGGAGGACCCTGTGCGCGTCGGTGAGATCGTTGTGTTCAAGGTGGAGGGCAGAGACATTCCAATAGTGCATCGCGTGATCAAGCTGCATGAGAAGTAAGTTGTGCAGGCGGGAGGCCTCTTCAGGCTTTTGCTACTTTTACTGATGCCGGCTTACTGATATTTGCAGAGAGGATGGCAGCGTCAAGTTCCTGACCAAGGGCGACAACAACAATGTGGACGACCGAGGCCTGTACGCGCCCAACCAGCTCTGGCTGACCAAAAAGGATATTGTGGGCAGGGCCAGGGGCTTCCTGCCCTACGTGGGCATCATCACCATCTTCATGAACGAGTATCCCAAGGTTAAAGTGAGTGATTGCCTAACAAACCCATCGCACAAGCTTTCCTTGCTGATTCATCTCTCGTTTTCTTCTCTTACAGTGGGCCATTCTCTCGATACTGGCCATATTCGTGCTGCTGCATCGAGAGTAGAGGCGGCGCGTTTATTTATAGGTACAATGTATAAGTAGGATCTGCGCCCAGAATGTGCACAATCTCAATTTCGAGCCTGTTTTGCATTTTTTCATTTGATCAATCCCGCAACGATTTTTCCTTTCCACGGCCCCCCAAACAAAGTCGCCACAAAAGCAAAACAAAACACGTTGTCCGGAGTCTCCGGAGCTGAATTTCAATAAAAAAATATAACGATTTTTAATTATGTTTGTAATAACAATTTATTTTGCAGCCTGCTCAAAACTGAGCAGTTCCTGCTTGAGCTTGCCACCCCAGTGGTACTTGGAGTCTCCGTTCTTGGACACAATGCGGTGGCAGGGTATGAGAATGGCCACCTCATTGCGGCCCACTGCACTGGCCAAGGAGCGCACTACCTCGGGGCGACCCATCTGCGTAGCCAGCTGCTTGTACGTGTACGTCTGACCACTCTTCACCTCCAACAGGGCCGACCAGACTGCAGTCTCAAACGGAGTTCCAAGGATGGCAATGTCAATCACACATTCCTCTACGTCCTTGCCGCCAGAAAAGAGTTTGTCGCTCCACTTCTGTATAATGGCACTCTCCTTCACCATTTTCGCACCGTGCGAACGTAGAATTGCCTCGCTGAGCGTGTCCTCGTCGTTCTCCATGACGAAATACAGCAGACAAATTGCGTCTTGGGCTTCGCTCTGAACATCGTCCAAGGAAACCACTCCCAGTAGCATGCGGCCAAACTTGGTCTCGACGAAGCCATAGCTGATCTGGCGCGGCCTCCTCGACATCATGGTCAAACGGATCTTTAAATTTTCGGAAAACCACATTTTTTTCTTATTCGAATTAATAGAGAAAATGCCGGCTTGCAGTGTGAACGCGGAATTATCGATAAGATATACCGCACAGCCCCACAATGTATACCAAAATATACCTATATCACAAAACGTTACGTGAGTGGAGAATGGAATGTCTGTTGTACGGTATGTGCCTTTGTATACCCCATTTTAATTAACTAATATTCAAATTTCGTTTTCGAGCTGCCTCTCCAACAACAATATACTGAAATATACCTTTTTACAAAAAATTCGATACTTTTGTGCGATATTTTGAAAGTACAAAAATTAGAGCGCGCAATCAAATCTTAATTTATGTTTTATGTGCTTCTGCTGGGATAGTAGTTGACAAAATATCAAAACAAAAATATCAATTTCATATTCTGAATGAGTGCAATTTTCTGTCAGTTGATGACTAATATTCGATGTAGCCCACATAGGTTTAACCAGAAATATATTTACCATTTTCTTTTGCTGGCAACTTATTATGTAGCAATCCATAATGTGGCCTTAAAATCGTATCTATCATCCATATGCAAAACTTCTTTGGTAAAAAGGTATTTGATGAATTTCCTTTGCCCGCAAAATTACTCATGATATCAAAAAGCGACAAATCCCTAGAAAAGTTTTAATTTCCATAAACATGTGATTTTTAGAACTCTAATTGTGTTTTTGTTGAAATAATCCCCAGAAAAGTTATGTCAAAATGATAGATTTGCATGAAATACGTTGACCATGGGACCATACAATTAATCAATATATAATTCGCTCGCATTTTCCCCACTGGATGTGCTGATAATGCACTGCCATGTCCATAAATATGTCTGTTAAGTTCTCGGAAGCTTGATCACCACCATTGTAATGCCAATCCACAGATGACAATAAAGTATGCCATCAATTTGTATCAACAATTTGCAATCTGTTTTCGTTTATTGTTTCTTTAAATATATATGTAGATGTACAATTATAATTATATTACAATTAGGACTAGATTAAATATACAAACGTACATACATCAAGATTGTGTCATACCCGTCACACTCTAGAAAAAAACGAATAATAACTCTGATTTGCGTCTGAATCTTAAAACTTAGTTAATAAAACTACTCTCGTACAGAAATGTGGAGGTGGTACATTAGGGGGGATTCTATGCTGTAAAGTTCCGGGAGTTTTGTTTCCTTTTGATTTCGATAAATGTATTTTTGTCAATTGCTCTGTGTGCCTTCCAGTTTTCAGTTTTATGAATTAAGTATACGTGTTAGTTAACCCTGAGTCAATGTTTAGTGCTGGTCTAGACGAACTTCAGCAGCGGCAATGCGAAAAACTAGTTTAAGTATTTACAGCCCCTAGATGAAGATAAATATACATACATATGGCACCTCGATTCCACAAGTTGCTAGCAAAGTTTGATTACCGATTTAGTTTTTATTATTATTATTATTATTTTGAATTTAAATGAACTTGCGCTACAAGTATAACATACTATTTATTTAATTATTGTATTCTCTTAGTTAGTTTCTTTATTTATTTTTTTGTTTTTTCTTTTATAGCATTTTCTATTAATTTATCACAACGAAATGCGTCAACATTTTGGCGACAACAACATCAAACAAAAACAACAACAACAGCAGCTAAAACAGCAATAACAATTAAAATAAAGTTCGACCTGAGCAGCCCTGAAACGTGTTCAACTCTGCTTGGTGGATGCCGTTGTTACCGTTATGCCTGCTGCAGGCAGTTCGTTACTGCTTAGTTCACTGCTTTGCGGTTTCAATTGGAGCTCTGCTTGCTGTTGCTGTTGTTGCTGTTGCTGCTGCTGCTGCTGCTGCTGCTGCTGCGGTGGCTTCTCTGCGATCACGGGTATGGATGTGTGCTGCGTGAGCATATCCGCCGGGATGAGGCCCTCCTTTACGCGCTTCTTCTGCTTCATGCGGCGATTCTGGAACCAGATCTTCACCTGAAACAAAAAGCGGAGATGTGGGTATTAGTCTTATGAAATTTGTGCTGATTAATGACCATTGCAGACTCATTTGTGGAGTACTTTACACAAATATGGAATCAATAGTGGAGCTTTTTAAGTGAAGAACAATTTCTCACCTGCGTTTCATTGAGCTGCAATGTATTCGCTATTTCGATGCGCCGTGCCCGTGTCAGATACCGATTGAAGTGGAACTCCTTCTCCAGTTCCGTCAGCTGCTTGTTGGTGAAGTTCGTCCTGCCGGAGTTGTTGGTGTTGGTGGAGAGGCTGCAGCTGCTGAGGCCACTGCCGGGCCCATTGCCCATCCCCACGCCAATTCCCATGCCGTTCGGCGCATTGCCCGCGCCTGCATTGTTGGCGGAGAGCATCAGGGAATTCTGCACGGACAGGACGTTTCCGCCAACGACATTACCATTGGGCACGCCTCCACTCCCACCACCACCGCCACCAGCACCACCAACACCACGGCACATCTCGAGCTGTCCATTCATCTGGTAATCGTGGTGCATGTTTGCAATGCTGTTGGCAGGTAGTTTTGGTGCTGCAAAGAGAGACAAAAAGAGAAGAGAAGAGAAGATAAGATTTTGTTTTCTGCTATGGTTGGAGGCGAACGATCCCCTGGCGTTGATCTTTAG